TTTCCATATTCATTAGTGGTTTTTGATTTGTGGTATAACATCTTCTGCATATAGCAGTCTGTTTTAAATTGATGGTTGTTTATGTTTGAACCCATTTTTTATTCCTCCTATCCCCACGTTTTAGGTATATGGTGTCATATTTTACATCCTTTATTTTGTGAGTTCCTTGACTGATTTTTCACAGAAATATTTGATTTTAGTGCTTTTGTGTTTTCTACCTTCATGCTATAATTTTTGGTCTTTCCTTTCCACTCCGAGTTCCCTTTAATATTTCTTGCAGGGTTGTTTTAGTCGTTGTGAGCTCCTTTACTTTTTGTTTTGGAAAGTCCATCTCCTTCTATTATGAATAATAGCCTTGCTAGATAGAGTATTCTTGGCTGCCATTTTTCCCATTCAGTACTTTGAATATATCATGGTACTCCTTTCTGGGTTGGAAAGTTTGTGCTGAAAAATCCACTGACAGCTTTATGGGGTTTTCTTTGTATGTAACTGCCTTCCTTGTCTTGTCATTTTTAATATATTTTCATTATCACTGTATTTTTCTGTTTTAATTACAATATGTCTTTGTGTGTATCTGCTTTTATTGGGGTTTCTCTGTGCCTTCTGGATATGTTTCCTTCCCCGGTTTAGGGAAGTTTCCAGCTATTTCTTCAAATAAACTCTCTGCCCGCTTTTCTCTCTTTCTTCTGACTCCTATAATATGAATGTTATTATATTTGATGGAGTCAGAGTTCCCTATGTCTGTTCTTGTTTTGCAGGATTCTTTTTTTCCCCTGTTTTGTTCAGCTTGATTCCTTTCCATTACTCTGTCTTCTAGGTCATTAATTCCCATGCTTCTAGCCTGCTGTTCATTCCACCAAGTGTGTTTCTCACTTTGTTTATTGAGCTCTTTATCTCTGCTTTGTTACTCCTTATCTCTGTGTTAATGGTCTCACTGACATCCTCCACTCTTTTCTCAAGTCCAGTGAGTATTCTTATGATCGTTGCTTTAAATTCTTTATTAGGCATGTTACTATATCTGTTTCACTTAGATCTCTGGCCCTGGCCTTGTCTTGTTCTTTCATTCTGGACAAATTCCTCTATCTTCTCATTTTGTCGAAGTCTCTCTGCCTGTTTCTCTGTGTTAGGAAAGTTAGCTATGTCTCCTGTTCCTGAGGGTAATGGCTTTATGAAGAAGAGGTCCTACATGTAGTGCCCTGCAGTGTAGTGTCCCAGCACTTCTGGGAGTGTCTCCAATGAGTCCTGGCCTCTTTATGCTTCAGACTAGTCATTTGCCGAGGCTCTCCTTGCCTGTTGTGGGTAGTGTTTGGTCTCTGGTCTGTATGTGGCACATTTTACCTAGGTGTGCCCTGGTCTGCATGTAATGAGAACTCTGCTGCCACTGGAACTGAGGCCTCAAAACCTGCAAATCAGGAGATGCTGTGTTGGCAGGAGTTTGGGGGAGGGGACCTACTATCCTGGGACTGAGGCAAGCATGAATGGAAAGGCAGTTCTTCCAGAGCACAGGGCTTGGTGTAAATGAGTTTAGAGTGAGTGTTCACATTGTGCTGGTTCCCACAGATGGCTCTGCTTTTATGCTGATGGGTTGGGGAGGGAAATGGCACCTGCCAGTTCCTATGGTCCTGGAGGGGTCTCTCTGGGACACACTACAAGATGAGCAGATAACCTCACCACTGTGGGCTCTAGAGGCTCTTCACATTCCTGTTTCCATGTTTGTGGCTGCTCTTGGAGAGAAGGCAGGCAATGTCCTCCAAGCTCTCCCAGAGCCAAGCATGGTGACCTTTTAATTTAAAACTCCAGGCTTTAAGCACCACTGATTGCAAGAAGTCACAAAATATGAGCCGTCCTGCTTTCCAAGCCAATTGCTATGGGGATTTGTTTTCCTTGTATGCTCCCCTGTATGCTAGTCTATCTTTTGCCCTTCTCTGTGACCACGGCTCCCTCCCCACTGCTGTTGCCACAATCCATTTCTCTCCCAAGCCACATCTCTGTCCTTCCTATCTTGATTGCTGTGGTCTTTTCTCTACCTTTACTTGTGAAGTTTGTTCTACCAGTCTTTAGATAGATTTCTGGGGTTATTAGGATGATAGGATAGTTATCTAGTTGTATTTGTGGAATGAGGCAAACCTAAGATCCTCTTATTCAGCTGCCATCTTCCCCTCCTATAAGTAGGCCTCTATCACAGAAAGACTGTGGGTAGTAGTCAGCCAAGAACTGGCTCTCCATTTGTTACAGTCCCATAGGGCCCAGGCTCTCAAAAGGCAGCCATAAAAACTAGAACATCAGACTTGTGTAACAGCTCCCTTCCAGGAGATATGGGTGCCTTGGAGTGTGGTAGAGGAAGGATGCAAAGATGGTAAGCACTAGCCCCCATCCTCACAGTGTACTCCAGCAGGCCCCTTGCTCTTTTGAGAGGTCTGCCTTCAGAGTGCTGCTTTAAGTTAACGAAAGTCTGGACCCCTTTCAAAGGGCTGACTTTGTGCAGGTAAGTCCATGGGCAAGGCCTTTAAGAACCATTTCTCAGTTTGCTATAGCCTTGTGGGTCTCATGAACATGAGCCCCACTGGCTTTCAAAGCTAGGTATCTGGGGAGCTGGTCCCTCCAGTGCCTGTCTTAAAAATGTGGGGTTAAAACTAAACTCTTTGCTCCTCAGAGAAGCTTTTGAGTTCCCTTCCAACTGTGGGGTTTTTTTCCTACTTGCTTAGATGTCAGTTTTTTGTTTGCTGGCTGTGTAGTTTTTTTTTTTCCCCAAGGAAACTGTTCCATATTTGGCTGGAGGTAAGTTCAGGATCTTCCTACATCACCACTTTGAACGAGCCTCTTCATGCTTAACTTGTTTAAAGCACTTTAATCCCAGCATCTTTCCTGTCTCTTGAACACTTCCTCAAACACTTAGTGACCATAAGCATGAACTCCCCAGGTGTAATTTGTAAAACAGTCAGAATATGGAAGAGATTTCAACTTGAGAAATACTGAAGAAGCTTCTGTGTTTTAGGCACTGCTAGGTGCTGAGGTAGGAGAAAATAATCATCTGCACCCACAGGAAATTATTTCATCCTTGTGTCCCTAGTGCCATACTCAAAATAGTGAATCTGCATAACATGGAACTAAAGTATTTCCAAGAATAAGGGTGGTGGGGGGCGGGTGGATGATGATGGTTACATGGGACTCAGGAGCCACCTGAAAACTGAAGGAATGGAGGCATGAACAGGGCAGATGAGGTGTGACAGTGGTTCAGCTAGGACTTCATGTCCCAGGTGACTTTGTCATTGCCCTTCCAGGTCCTGTGATCCTTCCACCAGGGGGCCTGTACTTACCAGCTTTATCTTCCTGATTTGGGATAAGGGCCTCCATGATAATTTGTTGGCTGTTGATCTTCTCTGTGGGCAAATGCACACACAACATTTAAATGCAATTTTAGGGTGTTTTCAAGCAGGATCATTCCCTAGAGCTGCCCCATCCTCCTAGCAGCCTTCCTCCCTTAGGAATAGGATATGTTTCATTGTACTTTGCTGGGTCACAGCCTCAGTGACCTGCTGTTTATAAATAATGCAGGAGATGGACAGAGTTCTTAAGTGGTTCCTGGGCCAGGTGATGCAGCAGGTGACTCTCTTCCCTCTTTTGCCTTTTCAGTTCAAAGGTTATATCCTGAGAGATTGGGTTCTTTTAGAAACTTACCCTGGTTGGGATTTAAAATCTATTTTCAATAACACTGACTTGGATTTCCTTTCCCTGGGACTTGGCAGGGCCCTTCTGGTACAGCCCTCCACCAACTTCTTCTGTCACTGGTGCCCCTTGTGTTGAGCTAGTGGTGGGCTGGAGGGTTCTGCAGTGCCACCCCTTTGTCCAGCCACATTGCATTTTTCTCCCCAAAATGACTAATGACCTGAGTGGAACCCTTCATACTTTACCCTGTTCTCGGACATCTGCAAAAACAAAACTATTGTTGGTCAAATGAGGAAACATGTCCTAGAGGTATACCCAAAGTCACACCCCAAATACGTAGCAGAGCTCAAATACAGTTCTTGTTACCAAATTCTAGGTTCTACTTTTTTTTGGTCGGGAAATTTATATTTACGATTTAGCTGGCTAGATTCAGTTTAGATTATCCCAATTTTGTTGGCAACATCCAAAGCTTCATAGTCAGGAGCCAGTTGAACATATGCCACCTTCTATCAGGCCTGATCAGGGTGTTGACCTTGGCTATGTCCATGTCATAGAGCTTCTTCACAGTCTGGTGCTTGCTGGCCTTGACGTCCACAGTGAACACAAGTGTGTTGTCTTCATGGCTGACTTGGTAGTCGGGGAACTTAAATGATGGCATGGTGGTCCAGCTAGTTTCTCCTGGGGTGCACTCTTTTGAGGCTATTTGGGCTGTCTTCAGACACACAGTGTCTCAGGCTGTCAAAAAGTAGTTGACATGTGGGGGCACCTAGGTGGCTCAGTTGAGCCTTCAGATTGGGTAATGATCTTGGGATCGAGCCCTGTGTCAGGCTCCCTGCTCAGCAAGGAGTCTGCTTCTCTCTCCCTCTCAAATGAATAAATTAATCTTAAAAAAAAAGTAGGTGACATGGATTTTTTGTGGGTGTGACTGTGGATGCATTTCAGCATTGTTTTCTTGGCCTTCAAAGCCTTTGCTTTGACTTTGGGAGGGGCAGGGGCTTCCTTCTTTGCCATCTTCAGGAAAAGGTAGGTTCTACTTTTCAATATGATTTGCTTTTCCTGGAGTCTGTACAGTTCTTCTTGATTGGCAAATTGAATGTTAAGGACTATCCTCTAGTGAACACAGAGCTGGTTACCTTATTCCAACATCTGTTTTCTAAAAGGCCTTTGTTGCCTGTCTAGCACCATTCATTCATTTATTCAGTAATTACTGAGCATGTCCTCTGCCTGGCTGCTGGGAGAGCACTAATGTATAAATTAGATACAATTCAGGGGCTGGCCGGTTCCCATGGATTTTTTTTTTTTGTTTTTTAGACACTAATTTTTGTCTCCTGCAGAAATGCCAGATAATGCAGCAGCGCTGCTGGGTGCTTGCTGTAAACTCCAGATTATTCCTACGCTGTGTCACTTGGTAAGGAACCTCTCAGTGGGGATCTGGGAATGGGCACCTAACAATTGATAAAACACCTTTAGAATTTTTCATCTACAATAGCTCTTCAAAATAGTTTAAACAGGTATTATTACTAACCCCACTTTTTTTTACACACCATCCACATCCTACCACACATTCTATTCTACAGGAAGACTGAGGCTGAGAGGAAAAGCATTTGTACAGAGAACTTGCTTACAGGGCTAGGACCCAACCTTGTCATTAGCTTCCAAATCTCAAGCTTTCCCCACTGTTTGTTTGGAGAGAATTTTGGCCAAAGTTTGGTTGTAACATTGCAGAGAAGGAGCCTGACACCCTGTTATTTGCAATGGCAGTGCGAGGGCTAGACCAGTTTGATTCAGCTCTGCATCTAATTCACCAGGGAGGTATTTGAGAGGACTGCTTTGTCTCAGATCATTAGCTTTGTGCCCTAAGGAAATTTCATGGCAAGAGCAAGAGTTAGGTAATGATGAGCTTAGCCCTAGAGAGTTAAGATTAAGCTTTTCCTTTTTAAATTACAAACTGGTCATTAATAGAAGGAGCCATCAATAGGCTGTCCAGAAACCACTCCAATGGGGCAGGTGTTGCTCAGCCCGGGGCAGAGTAGCTGAACACACCTGGTTGGATTATTTTAAGGTCTGGTTAGTTACTAAGAGTACAGACCAAGATGCTATGTAGGCTCAAAAGACCAAAGCTCAGAGCTTTGCTCCCAGATCTAGGAAGCAGGTCTTGAGATTAAGTGCCTGGCCAGGATCCTGAAATTTGTTACCCATCCGCTCTGGGAGCTTGAACACCATGCTTAGGGCCTTGGGTACTTCTGTGCATAGCAAAGACATCTGAACAAGGCATCATTCCAAGGAGGAGTTTAGAACCCATTCACATCTGAAAGTAGATTCTACCCACCCAGAAGAATGCTGAGTTCTTATACTTTGATCACTAAAACTGAACTACTTGAAAACATGACAGCATGTATGTTCTGTCTGGTGGTGTAGTTGGGTTATGGAGATAATAAATACCATTACCTAATTGTGTGCAGTGATGAGCACGGCAGTAGCTCTGCTTTCATAGCCCAGCTCTCTGTTGCAGTAACTGAGTGCTTAGTATCTCCCAGGTTACCCTTAGTAAAGATTTACAAAATCATCAAAATACTGCAAGACCACATTAGCTAATTCCCTCTCCCAACAAACTCACACTTACTTGTCATCTTCCCTGCAGTAAGCGTTAGATTTGATCTTTGTGTTGCTTCCAAGTTCTGTTTTGTTGGTCTGAGCATAGCCAGGAGGACACATTTGGAGTTCCAGGATGGCTGGTATTCTACACGAGCACAAAACTACCCACCCACAGAGTCATTTGTCTGCTTTTGGGGGGCTGCTTAAGTAAAGAAAAAAATTTTCCTTTAAACAATTTCCTGGGTATCTTCACATAATCTGCCCTAGATATTGCAACAATCCTTAAGACAATGAGGTTCCTGCCTCCTGAAGGAATTTGGGTGTCGAGTTACTTACAGGGATTTACTTAGAACAGGGTACAGAAATGTACCAGCATTCCTATCTTTTCTTGTCTGCTGGCCAGAGTAACTTTGAGGGGCTTTTAGAAGAATAGGATCAGACAGAATCATCAGTAGACCGTCACTTTTGCCCCACCACCCTTTGGGTGGCTGTAATCTTTCATACCTAGAAGTGCCTCTGGGCACATGGGGCTGGCAGCTGTTCAGGGAAGGAAACTGGATGCTGCTCAGACCCCAGACACAGAGCCCGCTGAGGGCAGCATGTGCCAGTGCAGCTCACTCTTAAATTACTGGAATATGGTGCTTCTGCTCTGCTCAAAGAGTAGGCCTAATCTACTTTCTAAGGCAAAACTGATAGTTTATGGTCTTAGCCAAAGGTTGCTCTTAAGCCTGTGGTAACACTGTGTGAGTGGCAGTTGGTGAATCTACACGGTGTACATTTGTTAAGGCTTATTTTGATAATAGACACACAAGTACTTTTATAGTCAAATGACTGCTGCCCTTTGGACATTGGAGCAAGCTTTTAGTAAGATTTCTGGAAACCTTTTGGATTCTCTTCTGATTCAGTTAACATTCACACATACTTTAGAGGTTTACTTTTTTTTTTTTTTTTTTAAATTTTACTCTACATTAATCTGATCTGGTTTTGAATGCCTGGTAAAAATCAAATCAACTAATCTTTGTAATTACTGAAGATTTAAAAAAAATATTAGAGCAGCATCTGAAATGACCTCTCTGAAGAGCTAACATTCATTCAACACATTGACGGCCCATGTTCTATGACAGACTGGGGCCCTGGTCTCCTAAAAAGCTTAGGTTTTAGAAAACAGACTAAACAGTAACTATCAAGAGGATAATTTCAGAAAGACAGTAGAGTAATAGTGGCTGGGATATGGGGGTAGAGGGGGGAGTAGGAAAGGCCCTTCTGATGAGGCATTTCAGTGGACAATGAGAGATGAGAAGAAAAGGTTTACATGGAGCTCTGGAAGAAGAGTGTCCCAGGTAGGAATAGCAAGGGCAAAGGTTCTTGAGGCAGGAAGTATAACTGAACTGTGGTACCTATCCCTTTGAGGACATCAAGCAACTATTTAAGAAATTCTACTATCATTAAAATAAAAAGAAAAATCAAACCGTACATACTGTTGTGTATGGGAAAGTTACATTCTGAACTTTCTCATCTCCTGAAGTTAAGGGATCTAGTAGAAGGTAGAATTCAGAGTGGAGATTCAGTCAGAACTCCAGGCAAATTGGAAAAATCAGGCGTAAGGTCCTGGCCTGGGAGAAACAAATCTTGTTACATCTTAAGGGTTTTTCTGCACTACTTGGGGGGAATTTAAAAAACAGTAACAATTTAATTTTTCCCCATAATCATCTAGAAGTACATTACTATTCACCTATGTGGTTTTTCTGTAACATTTTTAAATGAATTTGCTTAAATGTGTCATTTCAGCTCCATGCTCTCTCTGATGATGGAGTATCTGATCTTGAAAATCCAGACTTGGCTCCTCTGAAGGATATGGAAAAGTTTATGATTGTGCAGCGTTTGTTTGCCTTAGCCAACATGAACCTGGAGAGACTGCAGTCATCTGTGAAAGCTGTCACCCAGAAGGACCCTAGCATTTTCCCACTAATTCTTTATATAAGCCTGAACGGACTCTGTGCTTTAGGCAGAGCACATTAATAACATCATATGTGAATTACAAGTACATGTTATCAGCCAAGGCTGGGTATTTTTCAGCACTGTTAAGATACTACTGAGTTTAGCCACCAGGTACTCTGTAAACAGTTTTTCATAAAAGGCCTGTGCTAATGACCCAATGTCTAAGTTAGATTTTAGCATCTGAAGAGCTAGAGGAGGGTTGAGAATTCTAAGCTAGTGTACAGACTTTTTTCTGCAGAAAATAATTGGTCCGCCTATCTTTTTCTGCTATACAAAAACAGATGAGTTTGGTTTTGATCCAAAAATTCATTTTAAATTGTAAATGCCATAGGAAGACAATTTATAGAAGAGTCTGTTTTAGATGTGCTGATTGACAAATGAACTGTAAATGCCATTATAGTACATATATTCTGCTAAACAAAATTATACTAAAATAATTAGTAGGTGACCCTTCTTTAGGGGTCTAGCTGTAGACATTTTTTTTTGTTATGCTTTGATGAGCGTACCAATTCTATGTCAAGAACAATGCTGATTTCCCATGCATTCTCGATTTTTAATTTATAAAATACTACACATACTGTATCAAAGGAAACTCTGAACTGTGTATATTTTGCATTTAATTCTGTTTGAAATTCTTCTATAAATAACTTGGACTATCTCTCTAGTGCCTCTGATTCCATTGCCACTAACCACTGGGGAGCTGAAACCACTTTTCCTTAGCAAAAAGTAGCTAAGACTTCCTCCTAGAATTTGTCTTACTTTAGGAGCAGGGAAGATAAGTAGTAGCAGCTGTTGAAAGAGAAACGTGTTACTCAGCATTTTTTTTACCCTCAACATCATCTATTCCTTTTTCTGCTCTTCAGATTTTAAGGAATCTTAACACGGACGAAATGAAGCAAAATAACCCTTTCATCACCTCAGTTGAGACTAAATCTTATGCAAATACTTCCAATACATGAAAAAAAGGAGAGTTGTGCACTGTGTGGCGACATGAAGAGCACCTTATAACAAACGGGAAAGGAATCTGCCAAGGTGAAAATAGTTGTGCTCCAACAGTGGCACTGTACATGCCTTTTTGTCTGACTTTCTGAAGTAAGTTTTATACAGATTTTGTAAGGAGAATCTATTTGTGTAAACACATACACATGTATCACAATGCAGTGGGAAACTCCTTGGAGTCCACAAGAAACTGGACAGTGGTTCCTTTGGGGAGAGAATTTAGAAGTTGGGATAAGAGGTTGGGGGTGGGGGGTTACCCTTCTATTCCTGTTGTAATTTTATACGTATTAACCTCTAAATGAAAAACCACCAACCAAAGCCAAGCCAAGCCAAGCCAAAAAATCCCAAAAGCAACAAAAACTAAAGATCAGCTTCAGGCAGAAAGAAAAGACACCATCCCAGCACATGCCAAAAGTTTGGGTTACATCAAACAGGCCACTAAGGCATCTGGCCCTTTCCACAATTATCAGCCAGTCACCCTGTTGGACTGTGTTTTAAAAATCTGCAATTAAAAAGGATGTAGCCTTATGCTGCTACAGGTGATCCCAGCCCCTCAGTTATTGCCACTCCTTAGCAGACCCCACTGTGATATGGTGGGCAAAGTAGTGCTGGGCATGTTTGAGTGGGCGTCCAAAAGGCTCTTCTAAGTAACTGGTATCCTCATCACTATATACGATTATTAATTGCAAATGTACATTTACATTTATAAACAAGTTCTGGTAGACCAGATACCTAGAAAACAGAAAATAGATTATTTCCCAGAACAACAGAAGTGGAAAGCCACCTTCACTCAGATGTTTCCATGACTACTTGTCTTTCACAAGTGGTACAGGAAGAAACATTTCTATCAGCTAGTGTGCTGTGGCCCTATCAGGGTTCCTCAGGTGTCCATGGAACCTGTGAACATGTTACCTTATATGCCAAAAAGGGACTTTACATGTGTTCTTCAGGTGACAGACCTTGAGATGGAGATTATCCTGGATTATCTGGTAGGGCCCTTAGAAGGCACAAGAGTCAGTGAGAGACTTGGCCAAAGAAAATGCAGCAAAGATGAGGCATAGGAAGGATTCAGTGTTGTTGCTGGCTCTGAGATGGAGGTCAGTTCAAGAACAAGAGTGCAGTCCATGTGACAGCCAGTAAGGAAGCAGGGACCTCAGTTCTACACCAGCATGGAACTGTAATCTGCCAACAGCCTGCAGGAGCCTGGAAGCAGATTCTCTCTCCAGCGGTGAGAGCCAGGGCAGGCCCCGGGAAATGTCTCAATTTCACTTAGGTGAGACCTGTATTGGATTTCCAACCTACAGAACTGAGTTTGTGTTTAAAGCTGTGAAGTTTGTGGTAATTTTTTACTGCAGTGAGAGAAAACGGACAGTGTAAGAAGAAAGTGAACAATCTAAAACCAAATTCTTTGGGAGACATGAGAAGTACACTAGACTAGCAATTTCTGAAATACGAGGCATGAAATCCCAGAAACTTAGCTTGAGAACGAGTTGCAAAGTACCTGTTGTGGACACCGGCTTCCCGCACTCAGCCAGTCACGCCTCCACCTCTTGGCCAGCCTGGTGGGTCCACCTCCCTTTTCCATTGCAGGCCTCAGGGCTGAGCTGTGCCCCAGCAGGTGCTGTCTTTCCCACCTGGGATTTTCCTGCTTGGCTAGCTCGTCCTAGCATCTCATGTCATCTAAGCACAGAGGCCTTTTCTTGATCCTATATTTTAATCTTCCCTGTCTCTGCCATTTTTTTGAGTACGTCACCTTTGAAAGCCACCAAATGGCTTGGGCTGGGATAGAGGAAACAATAGTTAGGGTTTCCTTGTTAAAGAAGAGAAGCAGGTGAAAAATTTATGTATTTATTTTGGTGGGAAAAACTAAATGTTATTACAGGCTTTCTGTAGAGATTATTAGCATTTAAAAGAAATTACCAAAGCTAATCTGATATCCTCTGTATTTTATCATCTCTAAACCTTAGTTCTACCTATAAATGAAACACTACATTTTTGCAGTATTTTTATATGTACAAAAATATTTTACTTGGAATATACAATCTCACATGTTCAACATTTCAATAATGTTTGTTTTGGACAGCATATGGAAATATGTGAAAAGAAAAATTTATAGGGACAGTTTCTGAAAAATCAATACTTAATTGTACTGCAGGAAAATTTTATTTATACAAAGGCAGCAGTAATGTTTCTTTTATACAGGAACTAGTAATACAATTACTTGGAAGGCAGTAGCAATTAAATTTTATTTTTAAACTTTTTCATCAGAGACTTAAGCAGCTTGTTCAGCTTTTATTTTCGGATTGCTGACAAGCATTTTGCCCTCCATTAAAAAAAAGTTCTACAATTATTTCAAAGACTAGAGGTTAAAAAGAGCATGCATTTGTGTTCAAAATAAAGATACACCAAACTGAAATGGAAAAAAAAAAAAAAATCCCCAAAGCAAGGTTTTCACATCAAATACTCACCATGGGCTCTAAAGTAACTCAACATGCAGAAAACTACACTTGTTGCCAAACCCTAGTTTGGCATTCTTCTCCAGCAAAACCCTAGATCCCACTTCCTTAAAAATCAATGTTAGCAAAGAAACAGGAGTCCGTTCTTTTTAAATGACGACACATAGCCAAAAGGAATATTTATCTTATACTTAAATTACAGTTGGAGATGAGCTATTCCTCAAATCTGGTTCTGCCTGAAAAGGTGAAGGTATTCCTCATTTGGACCATGTTCATCAGAACAAGCTCTAGGTCTTCAAAGCAATTGCTATACTATTGCCTGCCTCTCTTATTTTGGAATACGATGAAGACCACATATTTCAAGTGCTGATGACTTCTGCTTTAACAGTGGTAATTTATAGCTGAGGAGTTTTGAATGCTCTGCTTTTTTCCACTTCCTCTAAGCTCCTTGGCCACCTTGACCGATATGAAGAAAGACTAATGTCAGGTATGGCCTGTCGTATTTGTGTGTTTCTACCCTCTGCTGTTGCTGAAGTGCAACAAAGACCTCTAGTTCCAACTGTTAAAATAAGACCTTTTGGCTTCTGCTTTGTGGAAGCAACAGTACCTATTCAGTGGGACTCAAGAACGTTTACAAGCACTGAGTCATTTACTCTCCTAAGTACGAAGCAGCATTTATGTTCATTGTAGATGTGTTCATTCAGTTTGTGCTGGGAATTAGGAAAAACTGGTAGGGAAGAAAAGGGAAGGAACGGTCACTTCTGGCTGACTTTGGTGTGTGGAGGAAAGTCAGATTTATCACGGCACTGTATTATCAGCCAGGAGCCGTGAAGCAATTAAAAAGAGAATGCAACTAAGATGTCTTCATGTCCGATTCAAGGTCCACTAATTGGACCTAACAACAGTTCTCCCTATAAAGAAACAGATGCCTTCTAAACTTAATACTATGGGTTAAACAATAGGGCTGCAGTGATAAATTTCAGGCATAAGAACTAAGGTAGGGCAGCTTTAAGGGCCAAAGTTCAGAATTTCTTGGATGTCAGAGTACTAGATTGCTTAAATTTTATTTGATTTGTGAGTAAGAAGAATTTGTTAAAGGTTTGGACTGAGAGTGGGATTCTAAACTAAAATGGACCTCCTGACCAAGGCCACAAGAGAGAACAGACCTTCCTCAGAGCTGTTTTAAAATTAGAGGGAGGATTCTTGAATGGTGTGTACCATTCATTATACTACCTCTGAAGAGATACATTTTAAATGAACTAAAAGATAAACAACCTCAATATAAGTGAATACATATAATAAATAAAGTAGCCTAATAAGGATTTTCCAGTCTAGCATTCATCACATCAGAGTTACAAATTACTTCTTGTAATTTAAGGTGAAGACAAATATTAAGCTAGCCCTATTTAACGGGTGGAATATTAAAAGTAAAGGGAAATATAAATTTTATCAAAGGTCGCATGGTCAGAATCAGAATTAGGATCTCAGCTAGTAGAAGTACACCATCTCTATTTTTAACAAAAGAGATTATTTTAAAGAAAGTAGTGCAATGTACTACGGAAGTGGTACAAACCATGCTTTAAAATTCTTACCTTAGAAATGAGATATCATTCCTTCACTTTTTAGTGTATTAAAGACTTATTTCTGTTTCTGCACTAAATCATTCCAGGAACACAAAGGTAACATAATGAATTATAGGACATATTAAAAAATGAATAAAACTTGAGGCTAACAAAAATGTAATTTAAAAATAATCTTACCTTAAGGAATTACAGAATTGTTATCTTCTTAAGATATACAGTGCATACTCAAAAAATGATGCTGAATTATTAGTTGACTATATTCTTAAAAGTTTGTGAATATTCACTTTTATATATACAATGATCCCATTATTTAGAATACTGAATTTTGCTCAAGAACTTAAATACATTACAGATGTTATTACATGAATTCTCACAGCAAATCCACTGGAACAAGAGGAGGGCAGTTACCATAATCTCTAAGCCTGAACCATATCACAAATTCATTTAAAGTTTAAATAAGTATTTACTAAGAGGCTGCCATCTAGAACTCTGTCCTTTTTGCTTAAAGAAATTAAGTTAATCTTCTGAGCTTAATATTTTTCAGGAAGATTAGTATCTGCCTCAAGGTAAAACTAGAGCCTTAGAAAACAATGTGAAAAAGGTTTCAGAATGTCTAAGAATTTGGGAGTAAACATTTAAGATCACTAGCTATAGTTACATGGATGACCATATTTAGTTTTATTATTCATGTATTTGGGGAGAATTTTACATATTATACATATGGCTGTATATATATTATATATATGGTGACTCAGACACTTATAAAATGACCTATATATGTACATAAAAGTTCAGGATTTCTTTTTCCATATTTAGTATAAAGATTCATTACTACAAAATTATTGGCTCCCTAGCCTGTGATTTTTGGAAAATGGAGTGTTGTTTCAGAAGTCATAAAAGTACAATGTTAAGTAGAGCACTATTTTGACCAATTTTCAAAAATTTTATGGTTAATATTTATCAGTTCAAACTAACTGTACCTAACTCCATGGCTATCCATCTTGAAAATCAACTCCAATCACTGGATTATGACACTTACTGTTTTGTCTAGCAAGAAGTACCAATTTAGTGAATTTTTAAAGCAAAGATCATCTTTTATTGTCATTGGGATAGTATGGTCAAAGCAGTTAGTATCTGGCCATAATCTATAATGCTACACTATTGTATTTTATTGCTAATTTGCATTATTTTCTAAATTTGTGTTAATAACCAATTTGCTCTTTTAAAGAAAACTTGTCCTGATAAGCTACTATAAGCAAATCTACTAGATTCTAGAATCTAGGGTTCAGGCTACTATTGCTGTAGTCATACTGGGTTTATGATAAGATTTCTATTTTAGAAAGCTATGTTCAGCAATTGTATAGTTAAGAATTGGCAGAAGTAAAAGTCCTGATGTATTGGATATTTGATAATATACAGATATCAAACAGAAATTAAGACTGCATAATCAAGACACGGCTGGAATAAAAGTGAAAGTCTACTTGTAGTGCATCACATATATTCCACTAGTTATACTGTTACATGACTTATCCAGGAACATCACCTCTAGGGGTATTTGTACATTTGAAAATAAAAAACATATATATATAATATTTAGTTGTATATAAATTGTCATGCCCTGAAATCTGATTGTGGACACTCTTCTGATCACAAAGAATCCTCGGGTGCATTAATGTATTGGCACAAGTTTCCCAAAGGCATTTGCATGTGCATTTGTATTTTAACTATTACCAATTGTTTAGCATCCCTTTAAACCGTTTTCTCTTCAGTAAAGCTAATTATTTTAGATATTTCCCACAAGAGAAGTTCATACTTCATTGATTACAACAATACTCTCATTGCCTTGGGAGAATCCTGGGGCGTCTGGGACTCCTTGCCCCAGTAGAGCTCTACTGGGTCCTGCAGACTCCGATGGGACTTCAGTTTCAAGTTCAATAACTCTACTGAGATACAGTGACCTTTTCTGAATTTATTCTCTTCAGCTCTGGCATCTAGACTGAGATAAACTAAACAGCATTATTTCATTTTATATTATGGGGGATCTAGTGTATATTAACTAGTCATGAATACCATTTATAATAGAAATAATTCCTTTAAGTATAGACTATTTTCTAAATAATATGCATTTTAAACCACAGGATAAGGCTAAAAATATAGATGATGTAAAAATCATCTCCATTATGTGAAGACAGTTGAAATATTTTGTGGATACACTTCTTGTGCTGCTACGATGATCCCAAAGTTGTTCAAAGAGGCTCTGTGCAGAAGACAGCACATTTCCTGAAAATTTACAGTGTGTTTAAATACTAAATCATAAGACATTATCTCAACACTGCTTTGATTCAGGTTGCTTTGAGGAGCCGAGAATTGGATGCGAATATATGTGGTTTAAAAGTTACCAAAGTTATTAAAAGGGTATGATCCATTTTACCACTAATATCCCTATCCTAGGACAAAGAACATGAATTTGTGTTCTGGATATGAAACTCTAGAATAAAAAAAAATAACTATACATTTCCAATCTTAACAATACAGCCACTTGGCTGTTTCATTGTGAAGAAGATTTAAAGCAATGTGTGCATAACTGCTTATTGCCAGGTATTTTCTCTTCCCTCTAAGCCCTTCTGGCTAGTGTTCCATGTGACAGCTTTGCTGAGGAGAAAAATTAACAGCCAGGTGCCTGATGCCTACCATGGCCAAAGATGACCACAAGCATCTAACCCTGTAGGTGTGAATACTGTCCCTATGAAAAGCTGGCAGCAACATAACATAACTTAGTTAAATGATGAGCTACATCTCTGAATATGTTTGAGGAAGAATTTATACCATCCAAGAATCCTAAAGGAAGATTTTAACTGAGACGAATTTTAAAAATCTGAGTATGTTAATGCCTCTAAAAGAGAGCGGTTTTCCTAATTACTAAACAAAAAAGCGCATTTCCTAACAGAAATGTAAAAAAAAATATAAAACCTCATTTAATATATATTATATAATGTATATGTTATATATAGGTAAGACAGCTGACAGTTATTTCCAAATCTCCTAAGTTGTTCAATGGATTTGGTTCTCAACACAAAAGATTTAAGTATTCTAACAATCACATCACACTTCAGAAAGGATGCTGATTCTTCAGAAAAATCCCCCACTTGCAAACTTAGAGGCATTTTAAAGCATCACAGAAATTTGCAAAGGCATCATACATTTGCTGACCATATCCTAATAAAAAAATGTTGAAAGCAGTAGGTTCATTTTTGTCAAATTTCTACATGTGAAAATAAATCAACTTTATGTGTCATTTTGCTGTGTTATGTGTTACAGGATAAGGCACTCCCTTAGCCTGCATGGCCTTCCTTGCTGTGTACACATTCACTTAGTATCAGCCTGTCATGGCAACAAATGAGAGTGCAAAGTATTGCTCTTCACTTTCCCTCAAGATGGAAAAAAAGGGGAAAAAAACATATCTGCCTAAATTAGAATGGATAGCCATATATCTCTGAAATAACGAAACCATGTAGTGTTGAGCAGACTTCTGATGTCAGAATTGGAAGGTATGGACATTATAGTTCTGTTTCTGTAAGAATTTATATTAGGAAAGAAGGCCAATAACTACTATTTTCTCCTAATAAAGAGTAACTGACCCTTCACTAGTTAAATACTGAACTAAAGGACAGATTTACAAAACTATTTCAAGTATTCATTATCACAGTGAAAATGGGAGACCAATGCAAGAATGAAGGCTTTGAAAATTCCTTTGATGAAAAAGGCAAGGGTACTAAATCAAAACATATACAAAATGCTTCAACGCATTTCTTTATGTGGTATGAATAGAAAGGTTATCCATAAAAAGTTAGAAAAATTAAGATAAATTATATATTAGTACACCTTCCCAACCACATTTTATATAAAAATTCAGAATAGTGTACTGGTATTTCAATCTACACAATAAAAATGCCTGAACTTGGCAGATATCTTCTATCTGTGCATGTATTTTCTCAGTAGAAGGCTTATTTGTTGCAGTTACTTTAAAAAGTTTTATTTCCATTATGAACCTTATTGAATCATCAGTAAACCCAGCTGATTGGGACCCACTGTGGCTCCATTCTCAGCTTCTCTATGGCAGTTTGTAGTTTCTCAAAGGCTTTGTCTAGATTGTCGTTTACGATGATCAAATCAAAATAGTGGTTGTATGCTCTTTGAATCCGTGCACTTTCGTCCACTGTTTTCTTCAAGTCAGAGTCCTGTCAAAGAGTGTTAAAAGGAAATGTTTCTATCATAATGTGTATTTACTTGCTCAAACACTGATTCAAAGTGAACATGAGAAATGAGGGCATTGGGACTTTTATGGTGATTTTGATATTAATGCTCAAAATCTAATCTATATAGTGTTAAAAGAGACATTACCACCTGTTCATATCCTAGTCTTTCCAGCAGTGCTCATGCTTGCTTTATAAGTATTCTGTATCTTGTTTCATTGATCTTAGGATAAGATTCCTAATTAAACAACTGCTGACCATAATCTCAGGGTGAAATCTAAGGTAATAAAACAATTATTGCAGGTTTCCAGCCCAACTATATCATCCTTTTCAAATGATTTTTTTTTTTTTTTTTAATTTGCATGTATGAATTACATCCTTAGAAAAAGAATCCCAGGATTTTCCCTTCTGGGTGTTTTTGTCTTGCTTCTTCATAGTCCATGATGCCAGCTGAGGTTGTCAGTACAATGAAAGCAAACTGGTGGGACAGGAGCAGATTATTCTGCCATTTTTGTAGATCTCTGAGTTGTACATCAAATCTGAAGCTCATCACTCCACACTTGTTTAACCTGCTTGTGAGGTTCACAACAATTTTCCCAGCTCTGTGATTATCAATGATCTCAAATTCACCAATGTAACCATGCTTCATCATCACAGTTAGAAACTGGTTAATGACTTTGGAGCATGGCATAATAAGAACCTGGCATTTACCTCTCCTTTCAGGAGTGTTAATGCTTTTGAGAGCATCTGCCAAGACATTCATGTGTACCATTTTGGCAGCACAGAAAGACTGTGGAAAGAGCTCAAAAGATTTTTATCTTGTGGGCTCTGAGATAATGGAAACCATTTTGCAGTGCCTATTAAGCTCAAAGCCAAATCTGCTGCCTATCTCTAGGAAAGAGAATATTAGAAATGTATTTTGAAGACTAACTACAGGCTTCCTACCCCCACCAACACATACGCACATAGTTCTTTAGCTAGCATTGTTTATATTTTGTACACTATTTCTAGTCATTTTGGAATGATGTCGGTAATAAATAAGTAATGGGTTCTGCATGAGCAAGTAAAGCTTTTCATTAAATTGCAACTGTTTAGAAATTTCACAGTACTTCTACATGTTCTTCAAATATTTATCGATTTCTATTAAAGTGTCTACTATGTTTCATCATCTGTGGATATAACAATGAATAAGACAGAGTGGGTTCCTACCCTCCAGAGGAGGAGACAGACTAAGGGCAAATAAACACAAAAACTTCCAAGTTGTAATGAGTACTATAAAAGAAACCAACCAGAACAAAGAATTTTGAGAATTCTATTTTAGATAGGGTGATTACAAAGATACCGAGTAAATGACATTTAAACTGAGAACTATAGTGGGGGAAAGAGCATCCCAGGCAGAGGAAACAGCAATGCAAAATCCGGGAGAGAAATGACCCTGATATGTTTTAAGATACTGAAAGTCCAGGATGGATAGAGGGACTGAGGGCAGGGTGATACCTTGACATAAGTATGAGCTAGGTAGTGGAGAACTCACATGCAACAGAAAAACGTCACTGGCTTGTGGTGGAGAAAGAAGAGATGGAAATGACGGCAGACTGGAAATATATTTTGGTGATAAAATCATCAAGACTGGCTGATGGGTTGAATGTGAAAAGTGACGAATGAATGAATGAATGGATGGATGAATAAACCAAAACGTAGATAGAAGCACTTGTAGAAAATGCAGAGTTGGGGAGTAGGAGTAGGGAGAGCACAATTTTTTGGCGGGGGGGGAGGGGAACACAATGTTCTTTGTACATGGTAAGTTTAAGTTGTCTTGGGAGACATCCAAGTGCAGATATAAGCTAAGTAGAGATGGGTTATGCAAGTCGGAGCTCTGAATTCTGGGTTATCTATACATAAACTAGGAATAATCAGTGTAACAATGGTATATATAAGATAATGAGTTTGGTGAAAACACCAAAAGGGAAGTGTAGAGAGAGACATGAGTTCCAAACTAGGCCTGAGGGACACTAATACTTATATTTCAGTTAATATTTTCACTGATCTCTCTATTTGAAACAACTAAAATATCTTTTGTGATAGATGTGCAAACAGCCTCAATTCAACTTGAAAACAATTATTACCTATTACAGTCATTAACAATCTGCTTCCTTTAAGAAAACAGGTTTTTTTTGACAATGACAATCCTGTAACAATAGTGGAGTAGTACATCATTCAGATGGAAAAAAGAATAAAGAATCTCTATATATGGCCCTGGAGAATCTCTAAATATATTGGTAAGTGGAAAATGCAGGCAGGCTACTGAATATAATAGGTTACTTTTTATGTAAGAAATGAGAGAGGGAGGGTACACATATATATTTGCTTATATTTTAAGAAATTGTGAAAATGACGACCTTTGTAGGTGGGAGTGGAGAGGACAGTGAAAAGCTAGATTTTCTTGTTAAGATTTACTTTAGAACTATGAAATGTATAGAATTATACAACAAAATTCAAATAAAAAAGGACAATATCTAAAAATCAAAAGCAAAATGAAACAAACCTGTGTTTCAAGTTGATGGTTTAACCATGCAGAAAGGAAATAGTTCAGTGACTTTAAAATAATACCCAATGGGATACATCTTAGGGACAATTTTTTAAAAGCTTGAAACTTAAAAGTTTTCAATAATCATACTGTTGACAATATCAATATTGATATTGTTACTCAGAAATTATAGAGTGGGTTCTTAGTTTATATATGTAAAGTAAGAAATAATATCATCAGGAATCAAGATTTTCAGCATAAGAAAAAAGACAAATATAGAGTCAAAGAAGTTAAGTAAAATAATGGAAAGTTTAAATTGGAATTATCAAACTGAACAAATGATGTGTGTTTTCTAAAAAAGAAAAATGTATTTCTTATATCTGGCCACCGAAAAGCCTGGAAACAATGAGCAACTAAGTTGAGCACACAACTTTAGCATCTATATTGTCTCTAAATACCATTTCCCACTAAAAGGAACCAGTTTTTTTAGATGGCTGGCTCCAGGTCTGGGTCAAAAAATGCGTAAGAAAACCTGGAACAGCTTATCTAGCTAGGAAGAAAAGAGTCATCAAAGATTACTGGGCTTGTGTTAAAAAAAACTCAGAAGACAAGCTGAATATTCCCTCAAGCTAAACATAGGCCAATTTAAACATCAAAAAGAGTAGTAACTAAGTATACAGAGAGGAAGTATTACAAGAGACTTTAAAACACAGCAATTTGACTGCATATATGCAGTGAGATAAACCTTAAGGACAAAACAAAACAAAAACAAAAACAAAAAAACCACCCACCAAAAAACTAGTTCATGGTAATCACACCCAGTAGTGTTGGTGCACTTATTCTCAGACTGTTGTATGTGTACTGTGGGATAAAGCAAATGAGCAATTATGTGATATTCTAACATTCCCAGTGTTTTTGAGAACTGGGATACTCAGTACTCAGAATGGAGATAAAAGAGGTTAAATAGGGGCGCCTGGGTGGCTCAGTCGTTAAGCGTCTGCCTTCGGCTCAGGTCATGATCCCAGCGTCCTGGGATGGAGCCCCGCATCGGGCTCCCTGCTCCGCAGGAAGCCTGCTTCTCCCTCTCCCACTCCCCCTGCTTGTGTTCCCTCTCTCGCTGTCTCTCTGTCAAATAAATAAAATCTTTAAAAAAAAAAAAAAAAAGAGGTTAAATAAAAACCTTGTAATTCTGAATTTGAATGGGAAATAGCAGTATGAATTCATGATATGGTTTCCTTCAAACATACAACAGAAAAACATATCCTAGCTCTGTCTACCTGAAAGGTATAGCTAGAAACAATGATCAATCTTGTGACAATGTGCACTCCTAGTATTATGGTCTTAAAATACCATTCACTCTAAAAAGAATCAGAGCTTCTTGAAGCAACAGCTGATATCTGGCCTAGAACAGAAAATGTACAAGAGGAGCCTGGAACATCTGTCATACCAGATAGCAAGGAAGCTGAGACTAAATAAGGTCTCAAGGGCCAACTTGAATAAGCTCCTATTGGTCAAAGATGGGACAATTTGAGCATCAATAAGAATGACCATATCTTCTTCTTTTTTTTTTTTTTTGTAACATATAATGTATTATTTGTTTCAGAGGCACAGATCTGTGATTCAACAGGTAGCAGGAGGGGAAGAATGAAGGGGGGGAAATCGGAGGAGGAAATGAACCATGAGAGACGATGGACTCTGAAAAACAAACTGAGGGTTCTAGAGGGGAGGGGAGTGGGAGGATGGGTTAGCCTGGTGATGGGTATTAAAGAAGGCACGTTCTGCATGGAGCACTGGGTGTTATACGCAAATAATGAATCATGGAACACTACATTAAAAACTAATGATGTAATGTATGGTGATTAACATAATAATAAAAAAAGAAAAAAAATAAGAATGATCGTAATAGAGTAACCACATCAAAAACTCGCATCAGGTGCTCATAATGAAACTAAAAACCAAAGAAAACAAACCTTATTTGATCACCTGTTGCTTCTGGGGGCTCTCAGAACAAATTCTATTATTCTGAAAACTGACCCATCAAAAGGAAAGTATAAGCATATACCCTGACTTTCCTATATGAACTCTACTTCAGAGTAATCAACTAATTGATGAGGAAAAGTTATTTCTTAGAAGAACTCTAGTTTATAAATTCAGAAAGAATGACAAACTTGAGTGTTATCATTTTACAATCCCTAAAAAATAAGTGATCCAGGCAAAGATGAATAAAACTTGCCAAAATCAGTAGGTAAAAAGCTACTGGAGAACTTTACAGATCAGGCTCACAACATCTGAACCCACTGATTAATCTTATCACAAAAAAAGAGAGCCTTCCATATGCCTCACAATATAACAAGGCAAGAAGTATCAATTATTAATTATTCTTGGGAAAAAAAAGTAAACCTATATCTGTTCAAGCTTCTATCAGTTCACAGGGAATAGAGGGAAATGACACAATGGGGACAAAATTGGCAAAATCTAGACTGAAGCGCTCTTATAGGATAACTGACCCAACTTTTGTTTTGTTTTGTTTTGTTTTTTGTTAGAGCAGGAGCTTGATCTCACGACCCTGAGATCATGATCTGAGCCCAAATCAAGAGTTGAATGCTTAACCAACTGAGCCACCCAGGCGCCCTAACCCATTTTTTTGAACAACTAAATTATAAGGTTACAAGAGAGGGGAGGTGGGGAGTGAGAATTTACAGATTAGAACAAGTAAAGGGATGTTTGCTTCCAGCTAAGATGTAGTAACAGATATCAGACTAACCCTCCTACCTGACAATGAAAACATGTGACAAAATGTTATGGAACAGTTTTTAAGACCTTGTGCACTGTGCATAAGGCAACAAAAGACTGATACCTCAGAGAAACAGGAAACAAATGAAGTGAATCCTACAACTACCCCAGCTTACTGTCTTGAAAGACCTTCTAGGCTTCAGTACACAAGGTGGAGCCCAGAAGGAGCCTACCCAACATTCCAAGTTGGCGTATACATATGCCCAGACTTGCCAAGTTGTACACTTTCAGTATGTACAGTTTATTATATGTCAATTATCCTCAAGCTGGGGGGGAAAAAAGAAATTTAGAAGATATCAAGTAAATGCAACATGTTGATCTTGTATGGATCCGATTTGAACAAATCAACTGTAAAAAAAAAAAATTCTAAATCTTGGAGAAATTCAAATATGGATGGTATACTGATGGTATTAAGAAGTTGCTCTTGTTAATTTTTTTGTGTTAATGGTGTTATGGTTATGTTTAGAAAGTCTTTATCTTTTAGAGATAGATAATGAAGTATTTACGGTTGACATATCAAAGATTTGCTTTAAAATAATTCAGGTTAGGGAGGAAGTGAAGAGAGGGCTAACTGAAACAGAAATGGCCACGCATTACTGAACCTAGGTGATGGGAATATGGGAGTTCATTTTTTTCCTCTTGTATGTACTTTAAGTTTCCCATAATGTGAAAAGAGAGAGAGGAAGAATAAGAGAAAACATGTAACAGAAACTAAAAGTCAGAACTAACTACCAGTAATAAACCTTATGATGAATATGCTTGTTAATGGTCTTGGAGCCCAATTTCCTCACTGATAAAATGAGAGTTGGATTAATATGTGTATTTTGATACTGCTCCATTTCATTTATATAGGGGGAATAAACTTGTGTGTGTTTTTTAAGATATTTATTTATTTATTTGAGAGAGCGAGAGAGAGAGAGAGGGAGGGAGAGCATTCCCTGCTGAGCACAGACCCTGACGCAGCACTTGATCCCAGGACCCTGAGAATATGACCTAAGCCAAAGGCAGATGCTTAACTGAATGAACCACCCAGGTGTCCCTAAACTCATGTTTTAAAACAAATAAAGTGAACAATGATTTTTAAGTAAAAGTCATACTGTTCCAAATCCTAACTATATCTCATGAATGAATTTTTATTCTGTAATACATCATATAGTGTATTTATTTCATAAATATGATTAGAATTAAACATGCCCAAAAGAAAAAAGAAAAAAAAATCTTACGAGTAAAATAACATTGTTAGCCTGAAAAGAACTGCTCACCGTCAAAAGCTTAGTAGTGATACCAGCATCCACCACTGCCTTGTGCATGGCACGTAATGTCTCTAGTTCTGGAGCAGCAATAAATACAACATAGGGCATGAACTCGGAAGTCCTCAGCACTTTCAGGGCCTGTGTAGAAGAACAATTACAAACCAATTTATATGGGATTAGAATTTGAATTATGTTACCCTTTAATTTATAATAAATGTTAACTAATCAAAATCTATCTGCCCTCTCACTAAGGATGAAGGATGTAATTTAATACTTGCCCCCCTCTATCCTTTTGATTCCACACAGTACTTTTTTTTTTTTTAAGATTTTATTTATTTATTTGCCAGAGAGAGTGAGAGACAGAAAGAGAGAGCACAAGCAGGGGGAGCAGCAGGTAGAGGGAGTGGGAGAGGGAGAAGCAGGCCCCCCGTGGAGCAGGGAGCCTGATGCTGGACTCGATCCCAGGACCCTGGGATCATGACCTGAGCCGAAGGCAGACGCTTAACAACTGAGCCACCCAGGCGTCCCCATACAGTACTTTTCTAAAATAGAGATCCATTAAATGTGTTCTGACCTCAGTCATACTACCCTTTAATCCTCTTGAACAAAGGAAAGTATTGAACTTAAAGATCCAAAAATTATCAAGAATGATGTAAATGCTTTCTATGTTACTTGTAGAATTCTGTTAATATTGAAAAAGCAGAAATAATCTCAGTGTCTATTGAGAGTGGTTATATAAATTAATATACATTTGTACTGTGAAACACTATTCAGTAATTACAAAGAACTAAAAAAGCTCTACAGTAACTGACATGAAAAGATCTTCAAGACATACTGTTTAATGGAAAAAAGCTAAAGAATCTATATAGAATTTTCCTATTTATGTAAAAAAGAAAAATAGGAAACCCATAAAAAATCTAATAAAATTATATAGATATGTATCTGTATTAAGGTATACTAAAATGACAAAGATATATACCAAGGTATTAATAATTATCTCTGAGTAGGGAGGTTAAGTTGGGTTGAGTGTGGAGGGGTGAGAAAGGGTCAGTGAGAGAGAGGGAATAAGAGTGAAGAGAATGGTGTGTGTGTGTGTGTGCGCGTGCGAAGGGGTGTGACTTTCTTTATTCTTTATGTTGTAGCTTTGCTGAAATTTTAAAATCAGTATTTCCTAACACATCCATTTATGTTACTTAAACAAGTAAATACTAAACTTTTATCAAGTTCTATTCCTATCCAAACCTCTATTGGTTAATTATTTATTTTTTTAAAGTTTTTATTTATTTATTTATTTGACAGAGACAGAGAGAGACAGTAAGAGAGGGAACACAGGCAGGGGGAGTAGGAGAGGGAGAAGCAGGCCTCCCGCGGAGGAGGGAGCCTGATGCGGGGCTCCATCCCAGAACCCTGGGATCATGACCTGAGCCACCCAGGTGCCCCCTGTTGGATAATTATTGATCAGAGATTTAGTTAACTGGCTGTGGATGCATAATAAGGTTCTCTATCACCAATAGGTAATAGAAAGAGGCATCCTCACAATCTGAAAATAAAACCAAACAAAAACTTCATAGGAATTACGATTTTAAAAACAGCTTTGGAATCCATGCAGCTTACTTGTGGGTTGACATCCAAAATACAAGTTCGTCCAGTTTGGACAACTTCAAGAATAGAATCGATTTTGGTTCCATAGAGATTTCCTTCATATTCCCCATGTTCCAAATATTTTCCAGCTTTAATATCTGCTTCCATCTCAGACCGTGACACAAATTTATATGCCTGACCATCTTTTTCATCTTCCCTTGGTTTCCGTGAAGTAACTAAAATAATGTTGAGAATTTATACAAAGAGAACACAGGGTATTAAAATTGAGACTAAAATGCACAGGGTAGCTTAAGATTTTTCCATTTAGTTTGGGGTTGGCAAAGTATGACCTATGGCCAAATCTGGTCTGCTTCTTATTTTTGTAAATAAAGTATTATTAGACTAGAGCTATGGCATATTTGTTTTATTACCTACGGTTTCATTCATTTTACAATGGTGTAGTAGTTGTGACACAGACCAGATGACCCACAAAGCCTAAAATATTTACTCTGTGGCCCTTGAATTAAAAAGTTTGCTGACCTCTGACCTACAGGAATGTTTTAAGAGGTAGTCCCCAATACACAGTTGATATTAAAAAAATGTGCTTTATAAAGTCAGCTTGAAACCTGAACATATATTTACATAGAAACAGTCCTAAATTTAGATTCTTAACTATGATGAGTCCTACTAAGCGTGGGATACATTGTAAGTGAATATCTCTTCCAGCTGCCACCAGCACTCCCCTTAAGGAATTTACACTTGAACACTTCCTAACTGAACACCCAACAAGTGAGCAAAATTCTCCTATTTGTAGTTGGTATTATCAATCTTCTGAAACATAGTTTTACCCACCAATTATCTATCCCTTTCTCCTCACCCTAACACCAAACCTCCTTCTAGCCTCTTGCTTATTGATATTCTGAAATGTGAACTGTTCTGTTCTGCAACTTGGTGGTGGATCTAGCCACACTTGATGTCATTATGTTCTATTAACTTCCTCTACTCTAACCTAAAGTATTTTTTTTTCTGAGAGAATAACAGTAAACAGACCAAGTCAAAATTTAAAAGATCATTTTTGTCTGATAGCTTAGTTCTGAGTACTTCCAGAGATATACAACTCCTTTGCAACTTGGGCTAACATAGGAAAGGAAATTCTCTTTCAAACTGTTGCAAAGATGTAGTTAGGTACTCTCTACAAATTTGTTAACACTGGCTTGGAAGAAGAAAAGTAATTTGGTGTGTGTATGTTATTTTACAGTTTAGCCTTAACCATTTTGGCTAGCTCAGATATAAAATCAAATACTTACACATGTAGAATATCTGATGAAATCATTAAGCACATGCAATTAAGAAGTAATCCAGATCAAAAGTTGACAATATTTTGACTATGTGTAATAAGCATAGCACATCAAGAAAACTTTTATAAGAACAGAATGAACTTGAAATTCAAGCTCAATAATAAGAGTCTAATTCATAAATGAGATCATTAGGCACAACAGGACTCCTTTTCTTCCCCTGTTGTTTTGTGGCTCAGCCTTTAGGGTGATCATCCCAGACAATTGTGGAGACCATATATAAAGTAACTAAAGACATTCAAGATGCTATGATGCATTTTCATATTCAAAAATGTGTGATGTCCAGGGTTTCTGAAATTATTCACTAAAGGTGGTATGATAAAATGTCTAAGGCAATTTTAAACTCCCCCAAATAAATACATACTAGGACTTGGCTCAATATCTGTGAATATAATTTTAGAAGAGTACGGTTTTTTGGTGAAGCTCTACAATGAAACCATATATGGGAATGTGCTGCTTGAAATAAATATGTATAGGCACACATATTGCCCCCATCACCACCTGCATGTTGAGGGGATCTTAATTTTTGGCAAAATGTTTTTAGTTTACAAGCAAAAAATTTTAAAAGATTTTATTTATCTATTTAGAGAGAGAGAAAGAGTGAGCGTGAATATGAATGGTGGGGGGAGAGGGAGAGAGAAGCTCAAGCAGACTCCGTGCTAAGCGCAGAGCCTGACACAGGACTAGATCCCACAACCTGAGTTGGGATCATGACCTGAGTGAAATTGAGTCGGATGCTTAACTGACTGAGCCACCCAAACGTCCCTAGTTTACAAGTGAATTTTAACTACAATCTCATTCTCTAATGAAAACTCAAAGAAAGCAAGGCAAAACAAAAATCAAAACCCAAAAACTATATTGCCATATATTTAATTCCCTTTCCATTCTTAGGACAGAGAAATTAGAATAGGGTAGCTTCACTACAACTCATTTCTTAGGTTTATATGCTAAGCAAATAATGTGATTTTTTAGAATTTAATCATTATGGCAAAATTCTAAATTGTTATAGCTCTTCAAATTATGAGGAAACAACAAAGTAACTTTTTTTATTAATTAAACTCAAGACATCAATGTTAAAAAGCAAACTTGATTCATAAGGTAGCCTATCCCCCTGGATTAATAATTTTTTCTATTTTAGGATCATTTAATAATATATAAAGGAAAATCTATTTAAGATTTGATTTGAGAGAGAGAAAGAACAGAAGGAGCACAAGGATGGGAGAGGGGCAAAGAGAAAGGGAGAAGCAGCCTCCCCACTGAGCAAGGAGCCAGACATGGGGCTGGATCCCAGGACCCCAGGACCATGACCCAAGCTAAAGACAGACACTTAACTGACTGAGCCACCCAGGAGACACAAGAAAAATCCATTTAACACAATGCCAGCATTTACCTCCTCCTTATGAGACTGACTTCCTTATTCATACCACCTGACAATATGCAGCACACTACTATGTATCAGGAATTAGGCAAACCTGTCACACTTTTGCAGTGTTTCTTTTTTATGTTGATTCTGTGACTTAAAAAAAAAAAAAGCTACATGCTACATAAATGTGAATGATTTAAAGAGAAGTAAAACACACCTACATTATATGAAAAAGTGAGTTACCCTGATGTATGGATATACCTAAATCTTTCTATATAAAAATTCAGATTTGAATCCTCACTAAAATATTTACTGCTGAAAGGCAGAACAGCATATCTTTCTAGAAATTAATTTGGCACTAAGAAATCAAGAAACTGAGACATCTCTATATATTTTTTGATCTAATAATTTCATATTTGAGATTTATATATACACACTTCATCATCTCTGATAACATAACTATCCAAATCATATAAATAGGCAATAACACTATACTTATATGCCAGAATATTAAGAAGTTATTAACTTTTTTAAAAGGTTTATGATAAAATTGATCATTTTAACCATTTTTAAGTACACAATTCAGTGGCATTAAGTACATTCATATCGTTGTGCAACATCACCACTATCCATTTCCAGACCTTTTCATCATCCCAAACTGAAACTCTGTGTCCATTAAACACTGACTTCCCATTACACTCTCTCCTAGGCCTTGGTAACCACTACTCCACTTTCTGTCTCTATGAATTTTATTATTCTAGGTACCTCATATAAATGGAATTGTACAGTATCTGTCCTTTTGTGTCTAGCTTATTTCATTCAGCATAATGTTTTCAAGGTTCATCCATATTACAGCATGGATCAGAATTTCATTCTTTTTTAAGGTTGAATAATATTCCACTGCCTGTACATACAACTTAGTTTACCCATTTATGCACTGATGGACATTTGAACTATTTCTATCTTTTTGGCTATTGTAAATAATGCTATGAATATTCATGTACAAATATCTCAGTCCCTGCTTTCAATTCTTTTGGGTATATACCTATAAGTTGAATTGCAAGATCATATGTAATGCTATGTTTATTTTTCTGAGGAACTGCTATACTGTTTTCCATAGAAGTATACCATTTTACATTCCCATCAGTAATATACAAGTGTTCTACTATCTCTACATCTTTGCCAGTACTTGTTATTATCTATTTTTTTAAATATATAATCTCAGGGTGCCTGGGTGGCTCAGTCATTAAGCATCTGCCTTCGGCTCAGGTCATGATCCCAGGGTTCTGGGATACAGCCCCGCATCAGGCTCCCTGCTCTGCGGGGAGCCTGCTTCTCCCTCTCCCACTCCCTCTGCTTGTGTTCCCTCTCTGTCTCTCTCTGTGTCAAATAAATAGATAAAAAATCTTAAAAAAAAAAAAAATGTATAATCTCCTAATGGGTATTAAGTGGTATATCACTGGGGTTTTGATTTGCATTTCCCTAATGATCAGTGATGTTCAGCATCTTTTTATCTGCTTATTGGCCATTTGTAGATCTTCTTTGGAGAAATGTCTATTCAAGTTCTTTGCCCATTTCTGAATTGGGTTGTTTGTTTTATTGTTGTTGTAGGATTAATATTTACATAAAACATATGACAATGACTTGTGAAGAAAAAGCTCATGATATAATGTTCATTCATTTATTCATCAAATATTTCTTGGGTATATCCTATGTGCCAGACCCTATTCTAGATTCTGGGTCTACAGAAGTACAAAAGACAGAGCAGCTCTCTGTTCTCGTGGGACATATTCTTGAATGTGGAAATAGGTGAGTAGTCAAATAAAAAATAAGAATTTAAGTGCTAAAACATAACCACTAGGTACTGGGAAGGCTACTTTAGATGGAATGGTCAGTAAAGGCCTCTGAGAAGGTGAGATCTGAATAAAAAGAAAAATTCAAGCATCTGAAGATCTGGAAGGCAGAGTGTTCCACACTGAGGGACCAACAAGAACAAAAAGGTGTGAAGGATAAGTTTGAGGAATCTGAAGAAAAGAAAGACCAGTGTGTTAAGTAGGAGAAAAACTATGGAAATTTTTATATGAATAATATGGTCATAATTCCATAATTACAAGTTTTTTAATTGTGTTCCTTGTATTTATAAACAGAACACTGAATAAGGTTTTTTTTTTTCTTTTTTCTTTTTGCAGTCTCACAGTAACCCTCAAGTCCCAAGTAGAAGCTAAAATGCCAAGGATTTATAGCCTCCTCTTTCAGGGTTTACTAAAAAGTGGCCAACTTGGTCCTAGGATCATCTGTCCACCTACCTCTATCTTATATATACTCGGAAAGGAGTCACTGAGGTTATGAATTGTAGGTTCAGGGCAGAATGCTTTATTTTCTTTTCCTTTACCCCATGGTAAAATGATTCTCCCTGATGAATTCTGAAAACCCATGATGACATATTGTGGCAGCGGGGTGATTTGTACTCCCACTGTTTGGCAAAGCAAGAATGAGTTTCCTGTGGGGTGTGTGTGTG